GGACGGCGGCGGCGGAGGGGCGGCCGGGCCCCCCCGGGAGCTGCGCTGCAGCGACTGCATCGTGTGGAACCGGCAGCAGACGTGGCTGTGCGCGGTGCCGCTGCTCATCGGCTGCGTCGGCCTGGGGCTCAGCCTCATGCTGCTCAAATGGATCGTGGTGGGCTCCGTCCAGGAGTACGTGCCCACCGACCTGGTGGGCTCCAAGGGCATGGGCCAGGACCCCTTCTTCCTCTCCAAGCCCAGCTCCTTCCCCAAGGCCATGGAGACCACGACCACGACCACCGCCACCGCGCCCCCCGCCACCCCCTCGGCCGCGGCCGGGACCGGCGGCGCCGCCTCTTCCAGGACGCCCAACCGGATCAGCACGCGCCTCACCACCATCACGCGGGCGCCCACTCGCTTCCCTGGCCACCGGGTGCCCATCCGGGCCAGCCCGCGCTCCACCACGGCGCGGAGCCCCGCGGCGCCCCCGACGGCCCTGCCGACCACCACGGCGCCCTTCTCCGGCAGCAGCACGCCGGGCTCGAGGCCCCCGGTGCCCGGAAGCCCCAGCACCCAGGCGATGCCCTCCTGGCCCACTGCGGCGCACGCTACCTCCTCCTACCTCCACGACTCCACTCCCGCCTGGACCCTGTCTCCCGCTCAGGACGCCGCCGCCGCCTCCACCGCCCCGGAACCTAGCACCGGCCCCAAATTCCGTAAGTAACACGACGGCGCCTCCACTCGGACTCCGGCCCTCTGCCCTCCCGCCGTCCGTCTGTGCCCCTCGCCGCCCGGGCTGGGCCGGGGCGCGGGGCGCGGGACGCGGGACGCGGCTCTTCTGTGGCCTGCGAGGGGTCCCGCGGGCGTCCGCGCGGCTGGGAAGGGAGGCAGCTCCTGCAGCTCCACGGCGGGTTCCGTGGGTCCCCAAAGAGAATGGAGCCCCCGGTCCCCTTCAAAGGGTTAAGGCCAACGCCTCCTCACTGCAACCCTGAGGGCCCAGCTCGGTCTGGAGCCTGCACCTGCCCCGACTGGGGAGGGAGGGAAGAAGGGAGTCAGCGCCTCCCTAAAGGGACCTGGCCGGCCCGTGGGAGCGAGAGAAGAGAGCACCAGCCAGCTGACCTCAGGGGAAGTGGTGTCCATGCGGATGCCAGGAGGAGGTGGGGATGTTGGTGAACGTAGCTGAAGCCCCTCCAGTGACCTGGGGGCCGGCCCCACGGGAAAGATTCATTATAAGCCAGAGGCGTAGGTTGGGAAAAGAGGGCACTGGGCTGAGCCTGTCGCCCCCCAGCCTGCCTGTGCCCAGCGGAGATGTAGAAATTGGTTCTGTGGCTACTGAGATGAGTTAACTAGGAGGAAGCAGAGGACAGCCCTGGAGTGGCTGCCCTGGGGTCCTGGAGAAGGAGGTTTTATTTTTTATTTTCAGCTCTGTCAAGCATTTGCTTTTGTTCTCCCAAAGGTGGGGTGTGAACCTCATCCCCTAGCCCTCTCAGCCTGGAAAAGCAGGCTGGGACGGAGCTCTCTGCACGGGAAGGGAAAACCCAGCCCTGTTGGAATCATGTCGCTCCCTCTTGCTAGAAGCATGCGTGCAGCCCGGGCTCGATTCATGCCAGTCCTGGACAGTTAACCTCAAGCCTGATGCCTTTTCATTATGGGTGTACTATGCTGTGTATTTTTCTGACCGCTTTAGCCAGCTAGTTGACTTGCCACCACCCACTTTCCTTTTCTAAAGAAATCTTGGGAACCTCCGTTATCTGATGACTAATCAAGGTATGGGAATAGTTTCTTCCACCTGTGAAGGTTATTTAGGACAACCCCCCAGCTTTCCAGTTCAAGTTCTCTGCAAGGCGGTTCTGTAAAAGCTGATTGTGCCTCCTAGATACTGTATTTTTGTTTGTTTGGGGCTGTAACATGTGGGGGAAAGATAGTGCTCTTCATCAACTCAGTGCCCATAGGAATTCCTGGCTTGCTTTCTCTGTCATCTGTTTTGTTTTGTTTTGTTTTTTGATTTTTGTTTTTTGTTTTTTTTTTTTATATCCCTAAGCTGTGATCTTACTGAGGGTGTTATTTAACCCTTGAAACTTTTCTCCAGAGTTTTTTTTAAAGATTAAATGTACCTGTAAGTAGCATCCAGGAGAGTGCCTCCTTTTCCCTGTGCACTGCTTTGGAGATGCCAGTGAGGAGGCAGAGGGAAGGGAAGGGTTCTGCCACCACCAGAATGGCAGGAGCGCCTGACACTCACAGCTTCCCTGCTCTGGTCGGAGCAGTCCTCCCTGAAAGCAGCTTCTAGGAGTGCTTAGAGGCTGCTTTCAACCATCTCGCTTGAGTTTTGTGGAGGAATGAAGGATTTGCGAGTGTATGTGTGAACATTTTCAATGCACAGAAAATAGGTGTCCACGGAAGCCCTAGATATTTTATCTTTTGATGCAGTTGGTGTGAATAATGGAGTGTTCCCGGCCCTGTGTGGGTTCAGAGAGGTGCTTCACTTCGTGGGGTGTTTCTTGTTCTCTTTCAATTGATTTCCTTGTGTTCCATTCCGGGGAGATCTTCAGAGAAAAAGCCCAAGGTAATTATTCCTGCCTGTCTGCTCTTTCTCCATTCTGTAGAAGGGATTGGCAGCCTGTTTAATAAGTAATGATCACTGACAGGGCTCACCGCCCCAAGGAAAAGGGGAAAAATCTGTAAATGGTGTCAGGGGTCATATAGACACATAAGCATTGTTTATTTTATTTGTATCTGAGGTCTGGCCCTTTCTCTCTTTGAAACCTTTAACAAGGAGTTGAATTAAGGACTAAAAAGCAGGTATGGAAATCTGGCCGAAATTGACCTGGTTTGGATACCTCAACAAGGGAAATGATACCGAACGATAGATTATGTAGTTTCCATAAAAGGTGGGTTTTATATCGGTAGATTGTGTGGTAATTTAAAGAAAAAGCATGCTTATTTTTTTTTTATTTGATCTAAGGTTGCAGGATGGTTAACAAAAGGAAACAAAGATTTCGTCTGGGGGATTATCAGCACTGCTACTCTGAGCTGAATTATGGCTTGAATAGGTGGCATTCCTATTTTTTAAGTTATTTTGATTATGTCACTAAAGTTCTCAAGAGAAAAATTCCCTTCTTCCAATTTCTACCTCCATTCTTTAGTAAGGATTTGTTTTTCTTTGCTTCTGTTTCTTCTTCTTTTCAATGTAAGTCATGCATTCTGTTTTTGCACCTGAAGACAGTCAAGCATGATGCTCTGTTTTGTGAGGCTAACCCACAAATTCTTTAATGGCCAGGGTCTTGGCTCTTGAACTGAACATCTCAGGGCTTGGAGAATGAATGTCTTTGTGTTGATCTCAGAGCAATCAGACAGCTCTGGTCTGTGAGGGCAGCACAGCTCTTTGGAGTGGGAGGCACTTGTTCATGGAGAACAAACACACTTGCTAGTGGATAACAGGACTTTTGTAAACAAAAGCTATTTGTGATATAGGAAAGGCCCGGTCCAGAGGGCTGTAACTAGTTATCTGTAGAATTGAAATAGGGAGAAAACCAGACTTAACAGCAGCAGAAGAAGAAAAAATTAGAATTTGACTCTTGTCGTCTGTTGTCTACCCCTTAGGTAATGAGTTGGACCAAAAGTTTCCTCAGTGTCCCTGGAATCTCTTGACTTTCCAGTGTTCCAGTACTGCCATCCCTTTAGGCTCCTTACGAACAAGTATCTTGGGCCGGGGGAACAAGAATCTGTGCTACAGCTCAGCAGCACAGCACCTGGCTAGCAAGTGCAAGGGCCTAAGTTAGATTCCCAGTACAAAAAAAATATCTTAAATATATTACTACCAGGGGATTATTTCAGTGAATGCTTCTTGGAAGCATTTTGTATCTGAAAGTGTAGGTCAGTTTTCAACTTTGGAAGCCAGTGGAAGGTCACTAGGGACAGAGGAACAGTGATTGTAGTCGACATGCTTTTGCTGTTATAATCCTTTCTCTTATGTTTCTAATATTGTGGATTACTTTTGAGCGCTGCAAATTTTTTACTCAGCCAAAAGCTCTATTTAACAGGTAAAAGGGCAGTCAGTGGCTAAATTCAAGGACAAAGACAAAGAGTACCTTTTAATGGACTATTTTTCAGCTCATATTTGAAATGTTATGTAGTTAATCCCAATGATTAATGTCACAAATATTGAATAGTGCATTTAGAGAAGTAATGGATGTCATGTGTATCATTAATGTATAAGCAGGGTAGAGGCAAGTTTAATTTACCCAAGTCTGTTATAAATAGAATTTTCCTTAGTCACATCGATTGCAAGTTTTAAGACAGGCCTTGATGAAATCAACAGTTTTCTTGTTTGTTGTTTTCAACATCTTTACTCTTTCAATAAGCCTACTCTAGGTTGCTTTGTACATGCCATCAGCTATACTTTGTTTAAATAAGCTTACTCGTATACCTCTGTCCTATCTACATGGTCAAGGCCTTCAAAGAAGTCCCAGCATAGAAGGTATTGACCCCAATCTTGCATGGTAGGCAAAGTGAGAGGATTTAGAGTTCAAGATCAATATTTTTTATGAAATCCAGTCAAGAGCTTTTTATAAGCATATGTTGCAACCTGGGTATATTTTGTTTTCCTTTGGTCTTAATGCAGGATTATAAGACTTTTCTGCTTTAATCAGTTACACTGTACAATTTTGCTCTTTTGACACTTCTGTGGTACTTCATGGTTCCAACTCCCCAAAAAGTATGTGGGGTTGGGCACTGGCTCCTTTCAGAGCTTCTTTGAGTTTGATCTGAGTGTTGTATAACGAAACGGTTTAAGTGTTCCCCTCAATTCCTCATGACCAAGAAGAGGGAGGTGTTTTTGCTATGAAGAGTACAGTTTCCAGGTTTAACTTGTGAATCTGGTCACCTTTATATTTGTGTTATTTCCCGGATAGACTTTATTTTAAGCATACAGTGTTGATCCACAAGCTTCTGAGGAAAAAAAAAATGAGCTGTTTGTGACAGTTTCTCTCTGCTACTGAAGGGCTCAGCTTTTCTCAGTCTAGGCTGGGCCACATGCAAGAGTTGGGGGCGGTTTGTGGAGCCAGTGTCACCCTAGAGAGCAGTGTGGACAGAGCAAGGTCCTTTGACTGGCCCCAGGTTTTCGTCCTGGCCACACCACAGTCCACAGTGAGAAGAGAGCAGATTTTCAACTTCTTCTGTAAAAATCCTTTGCTTATAACGTCTCATATCCAGTGCCAAGCATATCTTCGTATTCTATCTGGAATATTGAAAATGGAACATGAAATTTGGCCCTGAAATATAAAAGAGCAAGGGAAGACTCATAAATCTAAGTCTTTAAAATACATTTGAATTGCTTCTGAATAGAACTGAAATTCATTTTTCTTACTTTCAGTCTGTTTTTATCTTTAGACCAGTGTGTTGGGTAAGGCACAGCCCTGAGATTGCCGTGACAAACACCAATGAAATGCTGAAGAGTTGCATTACCTCCTTCCAGGAATGTTCTGTGTAGATCAGGGCTCCTGGGAAGGGAGCGGGAGGAGTGGACGCGGTCTGTAGTGGATGCAGCGTTGAACTGAGTGCAGACGTCTCTGAATAGGTGCTTCCCATTCCTGCAGCCATCAGCAAGATCCCTAGCGCACTTGTTTGCTTTTGTGTTAACAGTGGCCTTTCAGTGAACATTTCAGTCTTTCACTGTCTTGAATCACGGCTCTGATTGAAAGTATTTACAGATCTTTGA